TATGGGTGTGAAACTTTGTCAACAATTTGTAGGTCACTTCTTTATCACTTCTGCCTTACATGTTTCGGTTTGCTACAACCATCATCAGAGGCACTTGCTACAATTATGAAAACACTGTCGTTGTTTATGATGTTCACAGCTATGTTTGTCGTGTGGAAGCTGCTACAATATGTTGACGTGTAAAAGCACAACACTTGCTAGGATAGTTGAGTACACTATCAATTCTCACTTTCCATCCGAAACTGTTTTAAGTTAAAAAGGTAATGTTAAAATATTTAAAATATTTAAAACATTTGATGTAAAATGCTAAGCTCCTCCTTGTTACTTCATCCCGAAGATGGGAGATGTCAGCTTGAGGTTGTATGGCTTATGGTTAGATGTTTCCTATGTGCTGTGTGTTGTGTACACAACGAACGAAGACAGTGCACGCCTTAGACCGCTCGGCTACCGTGACCGGCTTGTTGACGATTGGGCACCTATATTTTTAAGGGGATATTGCCTAGTTAACGACTTGCAGTTGTGCAGGCACTAGCAGCTGCTGCTATGCAAAGCATTGCACCCAAGCTGGAATTCGTGCAATGTGAAACACAGCACGTGGTGGCAACAGTTCTTAGCTTTTAGTATTCGAACGGGGCGCACCTCTTTAGCTACTGGTTGTGCAATATAGTTCCGACCGACCTTGACTCTTGGTAAGCCTATGTTCTAGGCGAATGTTTGTGTGTATGCTTTGTGGTTTTCGTGTTAGCTAGAAAAATGTTTATATTTTTAGTATTTCTATTGGAAAGGAATAAAATAGATTCTCAATACAATAAACGTTTATATTTTGAGTGCATTTGTTGGACGGAAAGGAAATGGTTTCTCAGTGCAGTGGTAATAAAAATAACCAGAGAGGAGTATTTGTGATTTTCTGACAACAACGAAATAGCTACAAACAAAGATGAGGACGTAAAACGTAATTTACGATCACGTCTAGAGGTATTTTATTAATGTCAGTCTACTGACAAAGCCAAGTGACTTCCATTGCTTTGTAAATACGAAATCTTGGTCCTCTGAAGGCAGTGATGTGATCAAAGAGTGTTTAACTGTGACAGGCGATTCATTATGTAATTAATTTAAAAGTAGAACTGTAATATGAAGTGAAATTGAGGAGGTCAACGTATCTCTCGCTATAAGTGTAAAATGTATGCAAAATGACACTGAACAGTAGCTGAGGCAAGATCTTGATATCTGTAAATATTTTAACCTTCAGGCAGGTGAATCAGCCTAAGTCTGTGATGTTTCCGAAGTTACTTGTGTTTGTAGTGCAAATATACAGGAGTGAACCAAATAATATAAACACTAAGAAATTGAGGAATAGAATTTTTGTGCTGGTTATATTGAAAGAACTTCAGTCGGAAACACTAAATATTGTTCTTCCGTTGTTTACACTCTGTAGTGTTCGTATATGTGCATAGTGATTGTGCTGAGTGACAGTCCATGCAAGAGAGTCGGAAAATACGTGACTTCTCCGATTTTGAAAGAGGACAGATCGTTGGTGCACGCTTAGCTGGAGCATCTGTGATAAAAACTGCCACATTATTGGATGTATCAAGAGCAACAGTTTCTAGGGTTGTGTCGGCATCCACGAATCATGGGAAGACATCGCTAATGTGGAGGAAAAGTGGGCGAAAATCAACATTGACAGGAAGAGATCGCCGTAAATTGAGAAGAATCGTTTCGAAAAATCACACAACTACCGCAACACAAGTGACAGCAGAACTGAATATTCATCTTAAAGACCCTGTTTCCACAAAAACTGTCCGACGTGACCTTTAAAAATCCAGCAACCACCGTAGGGCTGCAATTGCAAAACCTTCGATTAATGAAATAAATGCCCAGATACGTAAATGATGGTGTCACGACCATAAAACCTCGACATCAGACAACCGGAAAAGCTCGAGTTATATGGTCTGATGAGTCGACCTTCGCGCTTTTACGCTGTTGCCTACATCAGGAAGAGTTTTACATTTATATAACACCCAACGAAGTGTATAACGCGGATGCCTGGTCCCAACACGGAGGAAGTTCTGTGGTGGTTTGGGCAGTAGTATCTTAATGCAGCATTTTCTTGACCTCACTTTTCATGGCCGAATTACTGCACTGAATTGCATGGACAGGTTGGATAATCATGTGCATCCCATGAACCAGAAGTTATTTCCGAACAACGGTGCAGTTTTCCAAGTCGTAAATGTCCACATTCACACACCTGGAACTGTTCAGTCATGACTTGAAGAGCATAAAGATGAACTTCGCCTTCCCTGACGAGCACAATAACCAAATTTGAACATCATTGAACAAATCTGATCGTTTTTGGATACTACAACGAGGAACAAACTCCCACCTCCAACATCTCTAAAGCTACTTGAAGATGTTCTTCGAGAAAAATGGCATAGAATTCCGCTGGAGACTGTTCAAAACTTGCTTGACTCCATTCCAAGAAGGACTGCGGCTGTATTGAAGACAAAAAGCGGTCCAGCACCATGTTAATAAATAACTGTGTACAGCATGTGTAGCGTCCCCAATACTTTATCCAAGCCCTGTATATTGCTTCCGAATTGCGTGTTAAGTAGATGCACTTCTTGCTACGAATAGGCAATCTGATACGGTTATTAAGCCTTGCACTTCTATTCTGGAGGTAGACCTATTTCATTCGAATCTCGTCTACATTACCGACTCTTCTGGCTGCATTTTTCATGGTGTATTCGCCATCTATGTATGAATGCCGAAATAGTACATGCCTTAAAACAGGCTACTACCGTCTGCTTCGATGTTCTTCCTTTATCGCCATTCACAGTAATTTTTTCGTCTCATTCTACGTTGTATAATTCATGCAGACGAAATAGGTTTCTTAAATACCTATATAAGATTTCGCAAAGAAATTATGAAGTAAAAAGTTAGTCTTAAACATTAGTTTTATGTCGGTTTTGAAGAAATGTTCATATTTCGTATCTTAGTACAGCTTAGTCGAGCCGCGAATCGTTGTCTCTGATGCATTAACGGGTAATTTTCTGTATCTTGTTCAGTCAACGAGACAGTAATTTTCGATAACAGGAAAGACGTGTTACATAGTCCGTACATGTGCAGGCCCTAACGAACAGGTCTAAAATTGGCAGCGTCCGTACCACAGTGTGTGAAGTATTAATGAAGTTGGGTACAGCGTGTCGGGACACCGTCAGTCACAGGAATATAGCAGCAGAGCCAAGTACAGTGCTGCGACATTTTGTGCGAGATTTAAGCTTCTCATAGCAACTGCTATACGCATTATACCGTGTGACCGAGACTACGCCATTGTAAGTTACTGATGTAGACTGTTACATCGTTATTAAGAAAATAGTAGGTTCTATTTTCAACATGTTTCCGGCATTCACACGCCTGTGGGAAACTCAAGTATATTTACATATGTCGTTTCTTCCGTAAAGCGCACTACAAATTTTATGCTTGCTTGACTTATTGCTCGACCCTGAAGATGGAGGCGACATATTTCTCCGAAACTCGATTGACTTTCAACGGTACGTCCCAGAAGATAGAGCTCTTCTTTGATCCTCTCTTGAGGTTGAAGATGCACAAAATCCCTTCAACCACATCAAGGTAGCAGTCATAAGGAGGGTCCCTAGTGCCTGTCTCGTATCCTGACTCGTACATGATGGATCTGAAACCTCGTACAGCTCTTGATCTCTGATCTGAACTTGATGACACTTGATAACGAGAATTCCGTACACCCTACACCAAATTCTAACCATGGGGAGTGTCCCGAAAACACCCGTTAACCTTAGAATTTGACACACGTAGTTCTGTGCTGTCATGGCTTCACTTGAGCACCCGATACATATCCCACCCAACAACCCGCTGAGCCTTGGGCGTCTGCGGGGAAGGAAGTTCAGGCTCCAACGTGAATGTCCGTGATCCATAGTAATCCATCGGTTTCTGTACATATCTCATTTCGGCTGAACGACCGTGCATTGGCACTGGTTCTCCGTGAAGGTATTGCTCCGTCGGATTACAGAGCACACAGCATCGGACAGAGAACTGAGTAGGGACCAGACCTAATTCACCTAACCTACGCTAAACTAAAGTAACCGATCCTAACCTAAATTAACCTAATTTAACCTAACCTAATTTAATCTAATGTAATCCAAATTCAGCTCTCAGACAATTTCACGTTCGTTAAAATCGATGAATAATTTCCAACAACATGAAACGAGACATCTCGTTTTGTGATTTTATCACGCGTTTTCCATTTCCGAGGCTAAATAACCATGACGTTTATGGTGATAATGTGTGAATTGTGGATAATATTATGAAAAAGGAGCAGAAAATATAAAAACACTGAAAACTTTCCCCGATGCTAATTTGAGGAGCATAAACCGAAGACGAACACACCGGACATTAGAACTACACGCAGATTCTCATTTTCTAATCACATGAGCTGGCTGATTAGATATATAAATTGTGAGTCCAAAATAATTTAACCTTCTAAATCTTAGATTAACAAGTAGCCCATCAGCGTGATATTGGTTTTTGAGGAGATATCACAAATGTCTCACAACCCTTTAAAAACACAAAGAAAAATATAAGTAACTGAAAAAAAAACGCGCTGGTTTGGTTCCACCTTAGAATATACTCGTAAAACTGTGATATGATGGAAACTTTTACTCAGGTTTAGAATCAACATATCGGAAGAAATAAAAGGTTTATTACCACAACTTTGTTGGATGGTGGTATTATTAACGTGATAGAACCGTAGGAATTGTTTGAGACTAGGATGTATCTCGTATCGGAAGAAGAAACCTTTCTTTCATTCTTCCCAGAAAATACTGTCCTTCATTTGAATGCTATTCAATTAATATTACAATAATATTACCGTATTTGAGTAGTTTCTTGTCAAATAGAGAGTGTACTTTTTCGAAAATTTTTACAACATTCGATTACATAGAATATATTTTTCTCTTATCCATTTACAGGCTGTTTCTGACGCCATGTTGGTGGAACTGAAGCAATGTTTCATGGAAGCATATGATGACAACCAGGACGGGAAGATTGATATCAGAGAGGTGAGTGTTTGAAGGAGTAAAATATTCTGTCACAGTTACACACATTAATTATAGGATAAAGTCGGATCTGTATCACTAAATGGTAAATAACGCTACCATAGCAGAAGCCGAAGATTCAACACAGCTAATCTCAAAGTTCACTTTTGGTCATGATGCTGAGTCTGAGTTGGGGAACTGAGCCTTCTAATAGGCCGTGATTTATCGTCGTTGCATGAGCAATAATTTATAGCTCCATGAACAGTCACGAGAAAATAGAGTTCGTAAATTGTTTTAGCTCATAACTCAGAGCAACTGAAGATGTGCTTCGTGGTACAAATTGAGAAGGACCAATAGATGTAGTCGAGAATGTACCAAAAAGAAATGCATATGAAATAGTTTCCTAAGTGACGGTTTACCATTATATTTAATGGTTCCCATTTTGTATATAATCCATCAATCGAACTCATCCGATATACAATTAATGTGTGCTGCTCCCAAGAACGCGTTATATAAATTGTCCCACAATTCAAAGGTATTCTATAGAAAAAAGAAATTCCACCCGGCAAGGAAGTAGAAGAGTATTACTCTAAACCGTGGACACATGGAAAGACACAAATTTAGAAGGCTGTGGATCACAAATAGAAGTTCATAATATTATGGAAGTAGAAGTTGTGGTTCAGAATTTATGACAGAAATGCTGGTAAAATATTGATGGAAATTCAGAATTTATTGACATTTTGTTTGTTAATATAGGTGCAATATAAGGGGGAGCATTTTGTCTTTGCTCCTAGCAATAGGAGTAACATTTCTGCTGCCCAAATGCTGGTACAAGAGATCCGGCAAACTATAGGCCTAGTACTTGCTTAACTATATCTGAGTTTCGTGTAAATAGGCAAAGAAAGGTAACAAACCTTCTTGACCATGTAAGAAGTGTTTACCGTGTGATAAGTAAACATATTAAAATTAATAATTATTATCCCCTTGTTGCCAGCATTGATCATTAGAATAAGTCTGATTTACTCACAATTTCAAGGTTAACCCTAATGCCACAGATTTCTAGACCCATTCAAGTGTTAATAACAGCTAAGTAGAATATAATGTGCAATAGACACTATTAGGAACTACTGTGTTGTGTCTCTATTAGTGTTCCATTATTAGGATATGTAAAACGAATTCTTGCGCTCTAATAAATTAAATTTAATTGATGCAAGTAAGGAGGTTGGTCTAGAAGTAAATACAGAGAAAACTAAGTATGTGTTACTGTCTCGTCACCAAAATGCAGGGCAAAATCATGACATAAAGATAGGAAACAGATGTCTTGAAAATGTGGCACAGTTCAAATATTTGGGAACAACGATAACAGATCGAAACCTGATTCAGGAGGAAATTAAGAGGAGATTGAACTCCGTTAATGCTTGCTACCATTCAGTCCAGAACCTTTTATCTTCTTGTCTGCTGTCCAAAAACATAAAAATTAGAATATACAAAATTTAATTTTGCCTCTAGTTCTGTATGGGTGTGAAACTTGGTCTCTGACATTAAGGGAGGAACATAGACTGAGGGTGTTTGAGAACAGGGTGTTGAGGAGAATATTTGGACCGAAGAGAGATGAAGTGACAGGAGGTAGGAGAAAACTGCACAATGAGGAGCTACATAACTTGTACTCTTCTCCAAGTATAATTAGAATGATCAAGTCTAGGAGGATGAGGTGGGCGGGGCATATAGCACGAATGGGGGCTACGAGGAATGTGTATAGGATATTGATGGGAAAGCCAGAAGGAAAGAGACCACTGGGAAGACCACGGAGTAGGTGGATGGACAATATTAGAATGGATCTTAGAGATATCGGATGGGATGGGATGGATTGGATTAATCTGGCTCAGGATATGGACCAGTGGAGGGCTCTTGTGAACACTGTAATGAACCTTCGGGTTCCATAAAATTCTGTGAAATTCTTGAGTGGCTGCACAATTGGCGACTTCTCAAGAAGGGCTCAGATCCATAAGTAAGTAATAAATTAAAAGTTATTAATTGTAAATATTTAAGGGTTCTTTGTGCGAAATGTCTAAAATTCACTACCGGGATGCAGAGTTGTTCGATATGTCCGTTCGCATTGTTCATCTATGAAGCTACTGGTCACAGTTTGATTAAATCTGTCGAAGGTATTAAATTCTGGTTCGTGAGAGTCAAATACCATAAAACCAGTTTCATATGTCAGTCCAACTCAGCAAAATATTCAGGAACAAGACACGCAGCAAGACATACGTACAGGAAGGAAGAACACAACGCACCAATTCCAACACACAAGTGCATCGAAGGGACCTATGTATATATTAGCAATACAAGACAGCAGTTTCCTCATCAAAAATATTTTAACACCTGATGATGGCCATGTTGGCGGAAACATGTAGTGAACTTTTAAACTTTTAAATTTTGTACTTTTATACTTTTAAAGTTAAAAAGATTTGTGGGATGTGGTGTTGCACGTAAGACTGAATAATATATGTCAGCTCATATATATATATATATATTTACTTACGATTTATTTAACAACTCTTTCAGTAGATCAGACTATGTAGGTAGTATCGTATGTTAGGATGAGAAAATTAATTTACTTATGGAGCTGAACCTGTCTTGAGAAGCCACCAATTGTGCAGCTACTCTAGAACTGGCCAGCATTTTATGGAAACCGAAAGTTCATTACCGTATTCACAAGAGCACTCCACTGGTCCCTATCCCAAGTCAGATCAATCCAATCCATTCCATCACATCCTATCTCTCTAAGATCAATTTTAATATTGTCCACCCACCTACGCCTTGGTCTTCCTAGTGGTCTCTATCCTTATAGTTTTCCCACCAATATCCTATATTAATTCCTCGTCTCTCCCATTCGTGCTATATGTCCTGCCCACCTCATCCTCCTTGACCTGATCATTCTAATTATACTTGGAGAACAGTACAAGTTATGAAGCTCCTCATTATGCAGTTTTCTCAGACCTCCAGTCACTTCATCTCTCTTCGGTCTTAGGATGATTAATGAATAATACCTTCGGTCGTGACATATTTCAAGATAATATCCCGGCATTTGTCTGAAGGAGCTTTGGAAAGCCACAAGAAGCCTCAGAATAGGCGTTGTTCCGGCCGAGATTCGAACCAGACACCTAAGAAGTACAAGTCAGAAACTTTTCTGCCTGAGTCACCTTGCTCGATTTTCAGCTCAAATATATCTAGAACTCGTGTGTAAAACTTTCTTTGATGTCCTAAATGTTGAAGAAACATTGTAGATCATGCTAAAACAAATCACATTAGAAAATGAGATAGTTATGTGAATGCGTACTGTATGGCATTCAAATTTCAAGTTATTCAGTTAATTCAGATATGAATCTGATGACAGAATTAGTGCATCGTAGACGTATTACATTAAACAGGTCATAAACACTGATCCTTACTTGGCTAATCTAATTACAATTAGATGTATTGCACTGCATAGAGGTAGGACCTGTGACTGATTTCCTTTGTATTTTATCAATTATACAGCAACAAGAGCGTTTTGTTTAATAATAGATGTTAATGTACGTGTTAATTAGTAGTCAATAATATGGTTATTATTTATATTTGTTAATTATCTACTATTTCCATAATATATATGAAACATTCTTCGTTTTATGAGTATTTATTTTTATTTACTTTGACAGAATCCAAATTGATCTTCATTTGAAGTAGAATTTATAATAAACGAATATGGCTGAAAATGAAAATTCATTGCTGTTTAATGTTTTCCAATCCTAAGATATTTAAAATCATCATCATCAGTGGCACGACAGCCCTTTGTGAGCCCTGACCTTCCTCAGGATTGCTCGCTATTCTTCTCCATTCGATGCTACATTCCTCCAGTTCTTTACACCCAAAATTCTTATGTCCTGCCACACACATTCTTCCCATCTCAATCTTGGTCTTGCCACTTTCCTATTTCCTTCTGGTTTAGTATTAAGCATTTTCTCAATCATTCGATTCTTGCTGACACGTATTATGTGTCCAGCCCATTCAAGCGTTTTCACTTTTATAAATCCAATAATGTCTGGTTCATTAAATAGTTTGTATAGCTCATGGTTATACCTCTTCCTCCATATTCCATTTTCTTCCACTGGTCCAAAGATATAGCTCAGGATCCTCCCTTCAAATATACTTAACAGTCTTTCATACGATCTTGACAGTGACCAGGTCTCAGAGGCATAAGATAGCACTGACCTTATAAGTATTTTATACAAGATATTTAATATAAATCCTATAAATTCATTTGTGAATGAAACAATGATGGAGACGAGCATCCAAACACGTGATTATTTCTCGTAAATAATGCATGCAAATTTACAAACAGAACCGAAAAATCGAAGTTTTCCTACTTTTGAGTGACAGGTAATTACCGGCATATTGATCGCATTTTTATTGCTGGGTGACGTCACCGTGTTGTGTAGATTGATTTATTTGTTTATTGATGAATTTGACTCTGTCTTTCTTCAAGGTGATGTGACTAAACAGTGGTTAATTCCGGGCCACTAGTCGGCCACGACATGGTGTTATCGCCCAACAAATTAATCAACATTACTAAGCCTAAAGACTTCATGCAGAACTATAGTTGCGTTCTTACCTACTGCAGTTTCAGAAGATTTTATGACTGCAAATATACAATGAAAGCATCAGCTCTTGAGAAGAAGCATACTAACCCTTCAAAGCACATTGGTTACTGGACGTAATGTATTTTTTAACATTCGGAATCGCCCTATTTTGTCCACAGAGCGTGTCCGTGGATTTTATACGCTTTTCACAACAAACAGCGATAATTTCCTCTAACTAACACCAGTCCCATCTTAGGTGGGTCCTTGTCACCACTGCATGGCGCGCCCTCAGGTTTCAGAGGGAGGAAACGGCCTCCAGATGTGGAAGCTACAAATATATTGAATAAACAGTCCCGGACAGCCGACAAGCGACCGTTCTCCAGCTTGTGGGTTTGGCGTGGGGCT